TTTAAGTAAATTGAATGGCTTTGCAGTTGTAAAATTTATTTATTTTAATCTATTGTTTATATTAAATAATTATTCGTGTCCCTTAGCAAAGCTTCAATAGTGGTCCACCGCAGCATGAAGCTTGAAGATAATTGAGTTTCCGACAAACCGTAACAAGAGTAAGATTCGCAGTCGAGCATCCAATCAAAATACTATGATAAATAATATATTCCTAGTTCCAAAGTCTCAATATCGCAACTATTAACTGCAAGTTTAAATCGAGAATTTCAAAATGTTTCCGGAAAATTCTATAATAAACTTGATAGAATAATGTAAACTAGGTGAGAATAATAGAAAATTATTTGTCACAAATAAGATAAAACCCGACGATCTTATTAACAAAATCAAGGAAAGGAAAAGTAATGAATATCAAATTAAAGAAGTCTGAGTCAATTAATACGACATAAGAAAAAAATGATAAAATAAGGAACACAAAAATAGCAGATTGGCGAAAGCTGGCGATATAACCCCCAGATGTAAACACCGAATGGATTACAAAGATGATCGAATGGAACCACAGCTGTTAATATAGTAGAACATATGAATTATTCAAGCTATGAAATGAGGCGAGCGATTTGTCCGTAGTGCATTACACATAAAAAAAATTGCGATAACTAGCTAAAGTTGATATATTTTTCAAGTGTTGCTCTATTTAAAAGCTTTTATACTTTTAGTGTTTTAGGAAATGTTAATACTTTTTACTTTCCAAATTAATTAAAAAAAATTTATTAAATAAAAATACATTTAAAAACATATCACCTTTTACTAGTGATAACAATTTGTTTGTACTAGAATTCCGAGAAGACATTCGCATCTATAAAATAAAAATAACAAAATCCCTGAAGTAATTAAGATTTGTATTAAAGTCGATAGGTAAGGTATATCGATATGTCACAAAGATTAATTAACGTGAGATAAAAACTTATTGAGACTAAAATATATAAGACAGTTAATATTGAGTGCAGCTCTGTGGAAAAATAAACTTGGCTTAGAGATTTTCCTACGAGTTTAAATAATTAACTTCTACTAGTTCTCAGTGCGATGACAATTCCAAGTCAAAGTAATTAAGCCTGTAATTGAGGCATTTTAGTCAATCGAAAAACTAGTTAGTACTCAATCCTAAACCAGGGGCGGACTTAAGACAGTCGTATGGAACTTAACCAACGGACTTTACCTGAGTTCAGGTTTAAACATGACAGACTGTGCTTTGAATATATTAGCTTTAAGAACATATTGTTTGTTTACGTACTTATGGCCAATGTAAGCATTAGGTAAGGAAATAATGAACAAAACCTTATCCTTATTAGTTTCGGTTGTCTAGTTTGATATTTATCAGATCGCGATTACGTGCGATTATTCTAAAAATAAAGATTAAAATTAAGCTTGTAATCTCTGCTCTATTATAAAAATTACATATCTCTGTTCAATGCATTGTTAAAGCTCAATCTGTACAGGAATATACCGTATTTATAATCAACATGTGAACGTGACAGATCATATTGAGACATCGTGTAACTGATTTCAATCTGATTATTCAATCTATCATAGTTGCACTTCGATTGATTAATTTGTGACAATTGCACCATGCACCATCTATGATTAATCGCTTAATGCATTTATCTGACGATGTAGTATTACATAAGGCGTCATTCATTTAAAAAATGGTGTCTAAGGCTTTCCAAGTTAATTATTTTACGCTAGAAATTATCGCATTTTTGGATTCTAAGTTGGATTTTTCTTTAATATTGTATTTTATCAAAACTTATTTATTGTTCCACTAGTAAATTTTTTAATAAAACGTCTGCTATATTGGGTCTATACTGAAACTCTATTTATTTGTACCTACGGAAAATCCCTCAATTTAATTTTTTTTTAATTCAAATCTGATCACTTTTATTTTTTAAAACACATAGAAGACGTTTTGATACAAACATAAATTAACGAAAGAAATGATAATGAAAGGCGCCTTATACTTGGGTGGTATAATCTTATAAGTTTAACATAAATATTGTTATACCACTTATGTTGAACTTATGCTATGTTAGACTTATGTTTATTAAAGCATTCCAAATTAGAACGCCATTATATAATATCAGTAAGCTTTGATCAGTTATTGTAATAGGAAACTGTATTGACCAGTAGAACGCTTCCGTCCTTGAAACTTGATCCATCATATATCCATCCACATTCATGTGCAAGCATAAATTGTTTCAGAGATTCGATACTAATATGTATGTAATGTAATAAATAGCAGAAATTATGCAGCACAGAATATAATCCACACATATAGTTATAGTAATATATCTAACTAGAACTATGTTCTATATCTATGCCAAATTTCAGATAGATCTATGCAGCCGTTCTGGAGATACCTTCAAACAAACATTTATCTATCCAACCAACCATCCACCTAAACATTCACATCTATAATAATAGTATTTTTTTAATATAAAGAAATTATCCATCCAAATCATGTGACAAGGTTATCACGTACAATTACAAAACTTCTAAGATTCTAGCTGCCGTCTATGGATTAGATTCAATTGTCATTCGATTTTAAGTAAGTTTTCTTTAGGCGCATTATAGACAATAAACGGCAACCTTTACGATAAGAACTTTACGACTAAATTTATACATACCAGTCAATTATTTTTAACAAAAAATAGTTTTACTTTTAATAATTAATATATTATTTTTATACTTTTTCGAGGTAGACTTTTTAGATTTTCATTATTGTAGCTCAAAAACTCAAAGTCGGATAAATGTGGGACGAAGGCGGTGATTATCACTTGTTTAGTATTCTACGAGAGTGTTGGTCGCTTACGCTGATACACACTTTGCTCGGTGCGGGCCTTTGACTTTTAAGAGACAGGATATGTCGAGCGCGTTCGATACTTCAAAAATTAAATAAGTTCTGAAATTGCTTGCTTGTGTGCTCGTTTTGTGTGTGTGTAAAAGAGTCAGAATCTTCCTGCGAATGTTTAGATGAATGGACGGACGGATGGATGGATTAATGTTTGTTCGAAGGTATCTTCGGAACGGCTGCATGGATCTCGCTGAAATTTGGCATTGATGTAGAAAATAGTCTAGGAGAACACATACGCTATTTATTAAGTTCGTTTTCAATTTAGCGCGGACGCTTTTGTTGGCGACACTAGTACTTTTATAAATATGTTATTTTACGTATAAATGTCAGCATTTTCATATCCACGTAAGTGATTATCATCTTTAAATCATGCTCCGCGGTAAATGGTAGTTGATTTGTAACAGAGCCGGCTATTTGCCTAGTCCGTTTTAAAGGTGCGGGTTTGCGAGCGCTACTTTGACGCTTGAGTACGATTTACACTTTGGCTACATTTAGCTTAGAGGAAAATTTATATATTTTATAAAACTGCCATTTGAAACGTCCACTTAAAATGTTTTAAGTATGAATAACGAAATCAGACTTATTTAAAATTTCAGGTTTTTTTTTCGTAATATGCAAATTTTCTCAAAGTATCAATAATTATAGAGTCTTGGTTAATTGGAGTCTTAATTACTTTATAACTAGGAATGGGTAATGAGAATACAATGCTGAGGAGACATTGGTCTAGTGTAACAACTACGTTTCACAGTCAAGCAAGTGTGGACCTGGCCTAAGTTAGTTTAATGTTTTAAATCAAACAGCGTAGTTGACTTCTCTTGTCGTTGTTAAACAAAAACGCTGTATCTTAACCCTCGGTTTCCTTGTTTAGTATATCCGTAATGTAATGTTAAACGATTTTATTTCATAAATATCTTCAATATTAGTTACGTACTCGTAGGAGAATTTTTATTTTCGAAGTCTTTGACATTCTTCTGGAAAATAGTCATAAGACAAGCTTAAGGATTCTCGTGTCATAATTAAAATTAGTACGTAAGTTGGCGCCTGCTACTCCGTCAGCACAGTTAAAAAAAACTTAATAAGTAGCCTACATGTTCTTCCATACTCTATGCTAAATTTCATCAAGATCCATCCAGCCATTATGGAGATACCTTGAAAGAAACATCAATCCATCCATCCGGATTGATGATAGATATCCATCCATCCATATAAACATACGCATTTATAATATTAGTAAGAAGTACCATTATTGCAACAAATAAGAACCTTTCCATTATATGAAAAAGGGATTAAAATAATACTGTTTCAAGCAAACAAAGCTTTCAGTTTTAAGCTTTCGTGTAGTAATGAACGGGTAATATTAGTTGATGTTTGTTCAAATACTTGTAGCGTGAATTATGAAAGCATATATGTATAGACATGTTCCTCGGGAGGTTAATAAGCGGAACAGCATACGATGCGAGAGAATCGAGTATTAGTATGCATGTATAATCCTTGCATGCAAATTAATGCGTTTATTAGACAGTGAATTATGATATATACAATAATAGATTCAACTGAGTTCTGTCATCGATAGCCTTCTTTACCTTTACAAAAAAATCTTCGAATTTTTGATGAACACCTCTGTTGCACCCAATAAATACACAATATTAATTTACAATCTAAAAGCTAGTCCGTGGTTAGATGTCACTCCGATGACTATAAAATGACAAAGACCTGCGTGTGACATGTGTGAACGTATTATATACAAAATTACATAACAATTTTATTTTCAAATGGATTAAACGCATTCCCAGAAAAAATGGTTAAAATATAAAAACACACGTGTAAAATTCCAAAAGCCGCAAGTCAAATTCTACGAAAATCGATTTTTTTATTCGATTTTAAATTACCGAATTTAAAACTTTAAATTCGATGCAAGAATTTAAGTTACCTACGAATACTATCAAACGGAAAACAACTTTAAACATCTCATCCGGAACTTCATTCTCTTTAAATGGCAATTATTAATAATATTACATTTTAATATATTGGAATTTGAAATAATTGAAGTGACGGAGAAGATATTTAAAAATATATAAATCATTAAAAATATTACCCCCGGAGACGTTTTCCAATGCAAATGCATTGAAATTCCACAGCGCAGACTGATTGAGGATGCACTGCAAAAAAGCAAACCAGTCGTTAGACAACAAATGTCTTCTATCGCTCTGCACCACGCAACTAGCACCTAACAAATAGAAGCATTTGACGAAAAGAGTCATATTTGTATGAGATACTTTAACAGATGTAACTCTTTTCATCGAATAGATCGACTGAAAATTAGCGCAAGCAGTTTTATAATAAAACAAATGACAATTTTCAAAAGAGTAAAGTTGCTATAAAAATTATTAACAAATATAATGCTTCTTTTTGAATCTTGTAGCAGAAGCTTTGCAAATTAGAGGCAGCAATAAGTTCAGTGATTTTATTTTATCTGTGCCCACTTTTATGTCTCATTTGTTACTCTGTTTTCCAACATCATCATGTTTAAGACAATGTTGTTATTTTTAGTGAAGCAACTTGTAATGTTCTTTCCAATTATTAAATAATAAATAATTTACATTACGCTACATACATACGCATACATCTTACTCAATATAAACAAATAGTAAAAAAATCGCAACATTTCCACACTCGCATATATTTTAATGAATCGTAAACAAAACTGTGTTCAGATTTGTTTTACAGATTCTTGGCGTCTCCTCAATGCGTATACATCAGCATGGCAACTTAATACCCAATTTATCGACTCTCACATATATTAATTAACGTCAGAATCCAATAATTGATCCTTACATTGAGTTGAAGATTACTTAAATTACATTGTAAGAAAGAAAGATCAAATGGATTAATCCTGTCTAAACGATTTCAATATTTTTCAATGACAATTTAAATCGATAAACGGTTAAATTGATTTAAATTTTTAATGAAAATAAAAGTATGTTCGTTAAGCAAAAATGGTTCTAGATCGATTATTGGGTTCGTTCGCAACACTTGAACATAGATTATCATAGCCAAGTATTAAGCTACTTTAGACTGAAATCGCAAGCTTGCACAATTATAAACGACAACGTTTAACATATTGAAATAAACAGCATTTAATTTTTTACATCAGTAAAATTAACTAATGAACTAAGGATTGGAAGGAAGGAGGAAGGAGCAATTTTAAATACTTTTGAACGGTGTCGTATAATATAACACCCTGTGTTCGTTTACCCCCTTCACCTGTCAAAAGTGTTGTAAACACAGA